TGCGTCTGCCTTAGCACAGGTGGCTGCTATAGGGGATTCGGCAGGAATTCGAGATAAGGCGTCTGCGTTTTGATGAACCTTTCCAGGTCGATGTTTTATGGTTATGTCATACTCTTGAAGAGTTAATGACTATCGCGCAAGGCGTCCTGCTGGATTCTTAATGTCCATAAGCCACCGTAATGGGTTGTGGTCAGTTATCACAGTAAATTTCCGGCCGAATAGATAGTGTTTAAAGTATTTCACACTCCACACAATGGCTAATGCCTCTTTTTCGATAACTGCATAGTTCTGTTCATTTGGTTTTAGACTCCTACTCGCGTACGCTATTGTCCGCTCACTATCTGGGCCTTCTTGGGCTAATACGGCACCTACACCGGTGTCACATGCATCCGTGTACAGGATAAACGGAAGTGAGAAATCTGGATATCTAAGAATAGGAAAGCTGGTCAAAGCTGATTTGAAGAATTCAAAAGCACTTTCGCAGTTATTGTCCCAAATGAATTCGACACCTTTCCTTAAGAGCTTGTGTAAGGGAGCAGCCTTACTTGCAAAATCCTTTACAAACTTACGGTAGTAAGAGATGAGTCCCAGAAAGCTTCTAAGTTCGCTCACAATTGTTGGCTTCGGAAAGTTGTGAATTGACTTTACTTTCTCAGTGTCAGGTGATATTCCGTCAGCTGAGACTTTGTGTCCAAGGAACGTGACCTCCGTTTTTCCGAAGTAACACTTCTTCGCTTTTAGCTTTAACCCCGAATTTTCGAATCGTTTTAGCACTTCCTCAAGTCTTTTGACATGGTCGGAAATAGTTTCCGAGAAGACAATTACGTCATCTATATACACAAGACACGTGTTCCACAGTAATCCGGAAAACACAGAGTCCATAAGTCTCTGGAATGTTGGCGCACTGTTACACAATCCGAATGGCATATAATTATATTCATAATGCCCTCCAAAGAATGAAAACGCAGTCTTTTCTCTGTCACATTCTTTAATGGGAACTTGGTGGTATCCTTGACACAAATCTAAGACACTGAAGTACTTGGACTTATTAAGTGCATCCAGCATTTCGTCGATCCTAGGGAGAGGGTAAACGTCCTTTTTGGTGACTTCATTTATTTTACGAAAATCGATGCACATGCGAACTTTGCCATCTTTCTTCGGCACCAAAACAATTGGGGCGGAGTACGGACTCTTAGACGGTCGCACAATTCCATTAGCGCACATTGCTTCTATCTGGGATTCCAGTAACATCCGCTGGCTGTGAGGAATCCTATAAGGCCTCAAGTGAATAGGTTTACTGTCCCCTGTATCTATAGAATGTTCAACTAAATCTGTCTTCCCTAATTCATTATCACTGAAAGCAAACACTTTTCTATACTTATCTAATACCTTAGTAATAGACTTGCGTTCCGTTTCACCTAAATCACCTGATACATAGAAATCATCTATACCTTGCTCACCAGACTCATCACTCTCACTTATTTCAATCCCATTCAAGTTCTTGTAATTACATGCATCTTGCACACTTTCGCCAGTCGAACTTGCATCAGAAATAAATGAGATACATTCATCATTTATATATACAGAATCATTTGCAACATCAATATAGCATGCACAGTCCTTCAAAATGTCCAAACCTAAAATACAATCATACGGGAAATCACGAGCAACAAATGCATTATATACAACATCGGTTTGTTCACCAATTCTTAGCCTAAAGTCACACTTTCCAACAATATCGACACGGTTGCCCGTTGCCGATGTAACACTAACTCCTCCAGCCGGCACCATACCACTCTGGTTTGCGAATGCTTCATTTATAATCGTGACACTAGATCCGGTGTCGACCAACATCGCAGCACATTTTTCATTCACATATCCTGTAATTTTGGCGGTACAAAATTTAGGATTTAACTGACAAGAAACAATATTTTCACATACATTTTTCACATTTTCAACACTTTTTTCACTACTTCCGGAAGAATTATCCTCTTCTCTTTTACGCAACCGGCTGTGTCTAGGAGGGTATTTTAGATCCTCTAGCCCTTTACCTCCACACAAAAGGGCGGACTTTAGTTTTCCGAATTGGCGTTTTTTTGTTGCTCATTACAACGGACTGCTATGTGTCCTACTCTACGACATTTGTTGCAGATTGGTCTCCCGTCCGTAGTCCTAAGATTTCGGTCCGGTCTGGGGCGGAATCCGAATCCTCGGCCTCTTCCTCCTCGGCTTCCACCACGGCTTTGTCCTCGAGACGGAGGAACAAATTGCTGTTTAGATGCGAATCTACCGATTTCAGTCGCCATCACTGACACCTTGGCGGTCAGGTCTGCGAGCGACTTTTCCAGCTCTTCCGTTCTCGTAGGAGCGTACGACATAGATGCCACAGCTCCTCTGGCCATCGGGGCATCTGCCAGGAAGTTGTTACACTCTTCTCTCTTCGCATGCCTGAAAGCTTCCTCAAACGTCTTAGGGTTAGAAAGTAACACATACCTCTTGATTTCAGGCCTCAATCCTTGCACGAAATGCTCTTTAGTGAGGGTTTCTTTTTGCCTCCCAGGCATGTCCATGTAGGCACGTGTAGCAAGCTTCGTTATGTTCGCCACATAATCTTCTACGGTTTGCGTCTCTGCCTGTTTGTATCCGAACAAGTTGGAATAATACAGTGATTGGAGTTCTTTAGGAATAAATCTTTCCCGCAGAGCGTCACAAACAGAACGATAGTCATCTTTCACATCATCGTCTAAAGATTCATAATAATCTGCAGCTTGATCTCGGAGGAATGCAGGTATAGTTATGCATTTTCTTGGTTCGGTCCAGAAATTAGCTCTGGATATTCGATCGAAGTTCTTAATCCATGAATCAAAGTCCTCGTCAAGTTTCCCGTAAAATGGAGTAGGCTTTATCAGGTTGGACGACTGTCTAACTTCAGGCACGGCTTCGGGAATAGAATCCTCAATTGGCTCCTGTCTCTTCTTCCGTGGCATCTTCACAGTATTTGACCAAGAGTTAATTTTCCAAAGTATATGTTGACATAGTTAAGATAATCTAATCCGACCGCTGGCCACCATAATATGTGACGGGGTTCCTCCCCGTCATTGGCACTGGTTAATAATGACGATTGTTTTTATTTACATCGTTTATTTACATAATTACAACACAAGATATATTTATAAGAAATCACAATGTTCACAATACAAAAACACGTCCACACTCGTTGACTTTCAGACTTGTTCCCTTCTCTCTCACTCATGTTCCCAGGGCCCACTTTCTCACACAAATCAATCTAGTGCTCACTTTCATCTCTCAGAACTCTATCACGCACAATAAACAACGATAACAGAAATGACAAATAAACAAATTATAAATCCATGCTTGTCCACTCGCTTTCTCTCTAACTAACTAAAATTACACTCTTGGGAAACAGGGCTACAACGCCTGCGCTGCGCACCTGCAACCTATCACTCACTCATTTACAATTAATTAACTAAAATCGGGCGATTGCTCTGTGACAATTTTTCTTGCGAAATAAATTTCAATGAAGTTGCCTTCATTTTAAGGATACAAGTCATATAAATTGAATACATATAGTGATTTCGAATGTGATTTGACACTTTTGGCTCTTTTTAGCGCATATTTGGAGTAAAACAAGAATGTCTGAAAATAATCTAATTTAAGCATTTTACACTGTTTTTGCACGTGCTCCTTTGTAAGAATAAGCATATGCAGGTATTGTTATAATAGCTAAAATTTAAGAGCAAGTGGTCAGAAATAAAATGTCAAAATTTTGAAAATTTCACACAAAGACTTTTTGGACATAGGTCTAGATGAGGTGCTATCCAAAACGAATGACTCCCATCTAGCCATTGGTTGAATTTTATAACAGAGTTCCATCTCTTAGAAAGGTTGCCTACGATGGTTAACGACTCATGTCTAGCCGGCTATTAACCCATAGCTGGGGCAAGGTTGAAGAGTGCTAGGGCATGTCCACACGCCGGTGGGCCTACACACTGCATCTCTGGGGTCCATGCTACTCCGAGATCCCCTCCAATTTAGCCAAGAGTGCAAGGACCCCAGTTTACCGTACATCGCCACGAGGAGGCATTGAAAGAATCTTGGTAGTGTAGAGGCTTTGTATTGGCGGGGAAAATTTTACGCATTCTACTCTCCTTTTCACCTACAAGTAGGCTAGCCAGCGGCAGCAATGGATCTATAGGCGTTCGATCCTGCCGCACTAGACGCATTTCACTACCCAGTGGCAAGCCACCAATAAACAAAAAAATAGATTTAAAAAAGGGAAAAACTCTTTTCTCTATATAAATATGTTTGTACATACTTATTTTTCCAAAAGAAAACATTTAATGTGTGATCGAATGTGTTGGGTTAACTACACGTTCTCAAGCACTATTGAATTGATGAACGTGACACAAGGACTATATAAACAAAACATTTTCATCTTTAAAGTTATTTATGTCATACGTCTCATGCTTCAGTGGATTCTCTAAAGTGTTGTGTTATCTTTTAATTCTCACAAGACCGATAAATCATTGGACTCTTGTAATGTTAGGTTTCGCACATGTAAGCATTTAACTTCTGAGCAATTGAAGAAAGAATAAAATTAAATGATAACAATTTACTTTTCTTGCTTAAAGGGAACAGATTTTCGAACACATTAGTATATGAAAAGGGAAAGAATAAATATTCTCAGTGAAAATGAATGTTTTGAATGTTTAAATGTTTTATTGTTTTTCTTTAAAATATTCAGCAAATTAAAAAAAAAAAATAATAGTGATTTATAAGATTATACGCTATCCATGCATTTTTTTTTCAGTATTACACGGTTGAAAATATTTATTTCTGGAACATATATAAAACATATATTCCAGTTTAAGTTTTTTAACATGTGAAATATATCTTAATTACATTAATTAAGGTATTTCACAATTAGCTTTTTTGATTTCCACTGATATAAAAGAAACTAAAGTAATGTTTCATTTCAGTTTGCATGGAACACAACCATTGTTTTTGCCCCCTAGGACTGATTGGCCAATGTCACTTTGATTATCTACATAATTTGCATAACTGTTTTTGTGGAATAGCACCAGGTAATTGATATTGCTACCGGTATGTTCTTATAAAAACGCATTTAAAATATGATGTACATGCTGTATACTAGTATATTGAATAAGGTTTTTGTTTTCAAAAGACATTATTACAATTTTAATATTATGCAATTAAATATATGGAGGTAATGAACAGTAATCAAGCTAAAAAGTCCATGAACCAATGCAAAACAGTAGCAGAGCAAGCACAGACTTCCAAAATGTCAGATTTTGGATCATGTGCCATTAAGGAGTGAGCATCCGCTGTCGACCAGTCACCCCCGCGGATTGTTTCTCGTCATGATCAGGAAATAACAAATAAATTCCGTTATCAATTCTATGTGTAAATATACTTTTACAAGATCTAGAAGCGCTGATATTTACAATCGACGGTTTACTTCTCCACCTTGAAAATGTACAGCAGCTCTTTTGCAATATATATATTTAGCTAAACAGTTCATAAAACGATAAAAAAGGGTCATTTCAAAACCCATATTGCGTAGTCTGGAAACGGTAACAATCCTACCCCAACCTCTTCCCTTCTTACCTTAACCAATCTCTGCCATGTTTTCCTTCCATGATGTTTTTCTTTCTTTATTCTACAAGTAGTAATCCTACTTATACTCATACTTCCCTTTCTAAGGAAGAAATTCTCCAAAATCATATGTCAGTATTAAATATTTTTAATATTCCACAGAGCCAAATTGAATTTGAACTACCCTATATATATATTGGATTCCAAAACTTCGTAAAAATCCTTACAAACAAAGATACATTGCGGGTACCAGTAAATGTTCAAACAAGCCTCCTTCGTTACTCCTCACTAAAACATTGACAGTAGTGAAGGAAAAACTTCAAGAGTAATGTGCAACAATATATCCAAGAAGTGGTGTGAATCAGGTGTGGATACTCAAAATTATTAAGAAATTTTCGACAATTTAAAGTCACAGGATTTTACCAAAAGAGCTTAAAAACTTATGACTTTTCAACTTTATACACAACTATTCCCCACGATAAATTAAAGTCCAGGCTTTTTGATATCATCGACAGCTGCTTTTAAAAAATATAGAACTCGTATATTTACTTATCTGGTCATTGGTCATTTGCAAAATTATTTTGTTAAAACACATTCTGATTGCACACACAAGTACTCTGAATTTGACATCAAAGAGATGCTTGAGTTTCTGATTGACAATATCTTTGTGGTTTTGGGAAACCAGGTTTCCGACAATCTGTGCGCTCCGTTATTAGCAGACCTATTTTTATATTCACATGAAGCAGAATTTGTGCAAAATCTTATACGTGAAAAGAAGAAAAACACTTGCTGTGGCCTTCAACTCGACAATTAGATATATCGACGGCGTATTGTCAATTAACAATGGTAAATTCTATTCCGACGTCGATACGATATATCCTGGTGAGATTGAGATAAAAGATACCACAGAGTATGACACATCTGTTTCATACATGGATGTTTTACTTGAAAAAGACGTTAATGGCAATCTAACAGCCAAGCTAAATGATAAACGTGTTGACTTTAACTTTTCTATCGTCAACTTCCCGTAGTTAAGCAGCAATATACCTTCATCACCTCCATACGGAGTATATATATCTCAGTTGATTCGATACGCAAAAGAATGCTCTACGTATGAACGATTTCTAAAACGAGGTAAATTATTGACAAGCAAGTTGACGAAACAAGAATATCAGCAGTCAGTCTCGTTTAAAGTCATCATTTCGTAAGTTCTATGGTCGATACAATGACCTTGTCAGCAAATACAATTTATCATTGAGTCAAATGCTGACTGACTTTTTCATACTAATTGTTTGTCCATTATTTATACACTGAATTGACGACGGATTTTCCCGTTATTTCCTGATCATGAAAAGGAGCACATGTCGAGTGTGACTGGTCAGCAGGGATTCTCACTCCTCCATGGCACCTGATCCCACCTCTGATGTTTCGGAGGTCCGTGTTTGCTCTGCTCCTATTTTGTATTGTTTTATGGACTTTGAGATTAAATACTGTTTGTTATCTCCATATCCTTCCTTTGATAAAAGAAAATAAAAAAAGATACTTTCTCTCATATATAAGATATTTAAGGAAATTTTAGTTTACATTTAATCATCTCTTGCGTTCGTAAATAATGTAAGTGTCTCTAAAACAACAACTATAACCACTTTTAATGTTTTCTTATCTATTATCAGTTCTGTACCTCTATACATAACCGAGGTTTAAATTAATGTCAAAATACACTGTAAGCCGTCAACTGTTAAAGTCAATGCTTCTGAAAAAAAGGTCAATAATGATTAACAATTGGTATGAAAAACGTCAGTCAGTATTTGACTCAATGATAAATTGTATTTTATGACAAGGTCATTGTATCGACCATGAGATCGACGTACGAATTGATAACTTTAAACAAGACTGCTGATTTTCTTGTTTCATCAACTTTAGAATAAAATCATACTGAATTTGTCAATTTGTATGCGATCTTTTTTTTCATGTTGTAATGAAACTTAAAAAAATGTTTTCTTCTTTGATTATACGTAAAATTTAGATTAATTGTATAATCGTATTCGAAATGCTGTTCTTGCATGAGATAGACCTTTTTTTGAAACATCCAATTAAGTAATAATTGAAAATGACAGTATCTATAACTTAGATTTTTTGGAAAGGAAAATTCAAGTTTTATTGACTAAATGTTTCCCATTTTCAGGGGTTAAATTTCACAATTGAAATCTACCAGAAAAATCTTTGATTGATTGAAGATAACACCTATCAAATACAATTGCAAAATATCTTCTGTTCTTAAAATATAAATGATGTATTAAAATACATAAACAAAAAGCATAGATTACTAGTATACTAAGCACAGTAACATTTTTATTTTTTTTTCTACCAACAATGACTTCTAGTATCCACATGAACTATCATCAATTAAAAATCTAATTAATTTTTCATTTAAAAAGCCTGGATAGTTTTGAAAGAAATGATCATATTAAAACTATTCATTTATTCTCTTTTTATTCATACAAGTAGTTACAACGACCACATCCGTCCTTTCAACGACCGTGACTCCGCTATCAGCATCAGCTTGTCATGCTCATACTGACTGTAGTGGACACATCTGTCCCTCTGATAAACATCCTTACTGCAAATTCGACAGATATTCTTCAACATGTCACTGCACAGGTAAAATCTCTCTCTTACTTTCTTTGCTATTGGGAATGCGAAATAAAAGAAGTAAAAAGGAGAGACCTAGGTATTTAATGTTGCAAAACTTCCATTAACTTTCTTTTTCTCGTTCTTTTTCTTGTTTATTTTTATGTAATTTTAAAGAACTGTGACAAGAAAAGTAAGAATAAATATTTAAAAAGAAAACTCAATTCATGTCATTGTAGTTAGTATTTCTGTAGAGTGTCAAAAAAATTGATTTATATTCTGCAGATTTAAAAAAATCAAAATGTTTTTAGATATAAGAACGTCATCTTCCAGCAATTTGAATGTTCATTTGAGAGATAAAAGCCATGTGATTTCCGAAACAATTGGCCTAATTAATCTGAAAAGCTTAATTAACACAAAATACATGTACATACAACCAACCGTATTTTCTCCTTGATTTACTTTCTTGGTTAATATTGGTGGACATCAAGTACATTGCAATATTTTGTTTCAGTTTGTACAGAACACAAGCATTGTTTTTGCCCTCAAGGACTGATTGGTCAATGTCACTTTGATTATATACATAATGTTTACAGCTGTGTTTGTGGACTACCACCAGGTATTTTTTTTAAACCATTTTCTGCACTGGGCATTGAAAACATTAGGATTGTAACTAAACTTTAAGTTGCAATCCTAAAGTCATAAAAATTTTATTCCTTATAATGACACAAGTTTCTAAAATTAACCCTTAATAAACCCTTAGCTAAGATCAAATTTGTTTATATTGCAAAAATTTGCATTTCTCCACCGCTTTTTCAAAAATAGCACTCAGTATATCCATTCTTTAGTGTTTTCTATTTTGTGAAGAAAAAAAATCAGAGAAAACAAAAACAATGTATAGGAAAAAAAACCGTGTATTCATTATCTTCAAATCTTACGTGATTCTAAGTTCAAAAGGACTTACACATAGAATTTATTAATGTATGTATTCGTTAATATAATTTGCAGAAATTAGATGACGGGAAAAAAGGTTCAGCATCAACTATTAAAAATCTAACACTGGCCCCAGAAAACGTCTCACACTGTATGATTTTATTTTTATCAAAAATGAACGTCTTTACACGTCACAGCTGTGGTTGTGGACTAGCACCAGGTATCATCTACCATTTTCTGCACCAGACATTATTAGGAATGAAACTGAACTAAAAGCATAAATCTAAATTTTATTCCTTATAATGACGCAAATTCCTATGAAAGTGTTTTACAAACCATTAGCAATGAACATTTTTTGTTCAAAGTGCTCATGATTTCACATAGCTCAAAAACCTTTTCAAAAATTGCTCTGACTTTATTCAGTCTGCATTGTTTTCTTTTTTACGAAAAGAAAATTCAGAGAATACAAAAACAAGGCATAGGAAAACCCCATCGTGTTTTCATTGTCTTTGAATCTCAAGTGACTCTAAGTCCAACTTACACATAGTCACGGAATTCATAAGTGTATGTATATGTTATTTTAATTTATAGAAATAAGATGACGGAAAAATTTAGCATCGGCCATCAAAATTCGAACACTGACCCCCTAGAATGTGGCAAAGTGTCTGATTTTTTATTCATTAAAAACGTCAACAAACGTCTTTACACGTACAGAAATGTATGCTTAAACATAGCTTTTATGGAGGTCGAATACCCACACATTAAATGAGTTGCATTATAAAGGATATACCATTTAAATTGAAGTGGAATTAAAACATACACTGCTGAATGAAAGAGGTAGAAAATTATTAAAATATCGCAACTTTCGCACATCACCAGATACAACCACGACAGTTTCAACATCATCAACATCCAAATCTGTACCGACAACAACATTACAATCCATTTCTGTATCTTCAAAGTCAACAACTAATTCTACACCAATACCGACAACACAACCAACCACATCTTCAATAACGTCAACATCAAAACCCACTTCTAGAATGGTATCTAATGCATCTTCTTCATCTGTTTCTTCATCAGCTTCAGCAACCTCACCAACATCAATTTCCGTTCCTTCCACAAATCCAGGTATATAATGAAAAGTCTTTATCTGTTGAACTAAAACCTTCGATAAACAACTCATTGACTACCATATTCATAGAAAGTATTTTTATTAATGATGAATTTATCTGTGCTCAATAACTTTAATATTTTTTTTCAAAGCGTATTAAAAGAAATCGTATTACAAGGTAACGATGCAATAACAGACAACTTTGGGCAAAAAGGCAAATAATTCCGACTCCTCAATTTTATATCTTCGTTATCCTTTTTAAAAAAAAAAAAAAAAAAAAAAAAAAAAAAAAAACCTGTCACCTTCACTCAGCCTCTTAGACCTTAACTAAAGTCTGAAGAATGACATTTACACATCTTTCTACATTTCATTAGTACTAGTAGAATTAGTCAGAGCTTGACCTTTATAAATAAAATGTTGTTGGATAGTAATTGATATGAAGTGATTAATGCTTGTACAATCAAAAATATTTCTCTTAATAATTGATTTTTTCATGAATTATTTCGTCATCAAAGGTAATAAGAGATAATCAATTGATAATTGATTTCATGAATTATTTCGTCATCAAAGGTAACAATAGATAATCAAAAAAAGTTTTCTCTATCTACTTCACACAAATAATCAATCAAAGGAATACACTTGTACATTCAGTTGATGTGTATATTTACTAAATGTAGGAATAAACTAAAATATTATATCGCATTACTTACTTTCGTACATAAAGTTTGGATGATAGAGATTGTAACTGATCAGTTGGAAAAACATCTTTCTGTGATCGCTACCATTCAAACAGATTCGAAACTTTTAGCATCTTAAGTTTACAATAATTATCAATATTCATGAGCACAGAAACTATCCTAAAACGATAATAAATAAGCTATCAAAATCATGACAACTGCTTATGGTTTACTTAGGAATATATATAAGAAATCAATCTTGTCTTACATTCCACGTACCGCTCTCTTTCGCTTAGGAGGTATAATGCCCAGTCTTACATGAGACTATATTTACTGAATGTCTTGAACACTTTTCATTAAAAGGTATCAACACTAATGCTTCTTGTCAAACAAGTTGGTTGCTTTATTAATAAACAAGACGTCAATACTATACATAATGTGCATTTCATACGATTGATTTTTATAAATTTTTTAGAGTGATTTTTTTTTTTTTTTTGAAGAGTTTTGTTTGATAAACTTGCATTTTTTACTTCATCAAAAACAAAATTCAATGAATTGACGGCAATGACATAAGCAACATCTTTAACCAAGGGTAATTTGTCCACTCTCTCCTTTTTTGTCCCCTGTCGATGACTTTAAGTTTCCTGCTCGTCTGTCTGATTTTCTGTTTAGCTGTCCCTCCGTCTGTTGATTAGTCTGTCTTACGTGATTTTTTCGCATTTTCTTTTCTAAATACTTGCAAATATTGACCTAAGATTCAATATATGATGATATGTGAGTGTATTCTGTCTAATGAGGGTCAGAATACTAATGAGTACTGCAAAATCAAATAGTTTCGTTGGGTCAAATTTTCATGGTTTGAGTAAAAACTCTTGGTTCATGGGGCTTTGAATTCGTAGATGAAGAGTTGTTGAGTAATGTATGTAACAATTTACATTTCGTGGTGGCCATGAACTCGTGGGTCTCTTTATACCTCGAAAACAACGAAAATCAACCCCCCATGAATATTTGTGATTTCACAGTAACTGATGAGTAACAGATCAAATACGCATTTTATTCCACTTCAATGATTTTGACAGAATTACAGCTGCTTTTTCAATTTTTAAGGATTTTCCACATTCCGGTTGCTGGTAGAATGCTTGTTAAAAAAGTAATTTTAACAAAATTGCTGCTTATTACGTTTTAACGTCTTATGAGATTGTTATGACGTTGGACAAATGTAATGTGATTATTTCTTTTTACACAATACTTTTTAAAGCAATATTAGCTGCAACTTTGATGTCGGATTTTTTTTGTTTCAAAATTGTAGATAATTATTTCAATGAGAGAAAAATAACGTTAATCTGCTGTTCATATTTGCGATAGAAGAACTATTTATGAGCTTCGATCAATCAAAATTACATTATTGTCGTCATGTAGAATAATGTTTTGTTATATAAAACTGTATATTTTATTTTATATATAGAAGTTTTTCTTCTGCTTTATTTTTGTCTAATTGATCATAAAGGTTTAAGTTACATACATATTTTTCATCATAACACATTTTAACAGCAAAATAAAATTTTCAAAAATGCAGCTCATATTGCTTTAACGATTTCTTGACAGAACAAAATAAATAAACTGTTTTATTGAGGTTTTATGTGTTTTTGTTCACAATGAACATGTAGAAATATAACAAAACCAAAGAGAGATTTTATTTCTCCATAATAATTGGTTCTAAATACTATGAGTATGTGTAGATTGCCATGGAGAGTAATTATTATTTATATTACATGAAATTTTTAATACCTTCTTAAGGTATTCAGTGTCCTACATGTGATGAATCATTAAATTGCGTGTGGAATCAGACATGTTATCCGGAAGACAGTTGTATGATACGAAGTTATCGAGGAACAAAGTTTACAACACATTGTTCAAAGGTAATAAATTGCATAAACATATGCAAACTTCAACATAATACGAGGGCTGTTCAATAAATAATGCCCTGAACTGTATGATATACAATGCATATATCATATGACATTAAGCTTGACTTTTTGGCATTATTGAATCTTTATTGAATTTATAACAATTCATGTAACCACTCTTCTTCACATAGTTTCATTGTGAGAAGCTGGAAAACAAGGGTTATTCGAGACACTGCAGTAAAAATGAATGGTAAAGAATCAGTAAACTAGAGTGAAATTAAACGCTTCGTTAAAGCTGCTGTAAAACTCGTTAAGAATCCTAAAAAAATATTCAATGAAATATGTAAAATTTACGGCAACCAATGTCTGTTTTATAGACAAATGAGCAGGCAGGTGGATTTCAATGATAAAAAATTACATAATGGGCATAAAAAAATGGGTACCGTCCTTGCCAACAAAAAAAATAACAACTAATGCACTGTGTGCCAGATTTCAACAAATAATCACTGATGTGTATGACTGACTTTAAGACATAGCAAATTTGATAGACTTTATTTCGAGAGTAGTTCACACAGTTTTAAAGAAACGTTTGACAGTAAAAAATCTCAAAGGTCACCCTAAGTTTTGAAAAATGTCTGAAAGCGACAGCGTGTAAGAATATCTAAACAATTATTTTAAGATATCAGTAATTGTAGTTATCCACGTTTGTTTGAAATTCAAACAGATAATGAAACTTGAATGTATTGCTTAAAAACCCTCGAAATAAAATTTACAATAAGATGTACTTGACAAAAACAGCAAAGGTCTGAGAAGAGCAAAGAATTGCAAAAGCACAAAGACAGATTTATATGCAATTTTCTTAAATATTATTGGTCTTGTTGTTCAAATTCGTATTAATTCGGGGGGCAGTTTAATTTCTGGAAGAGTTTAGAAAGCAAATATTTTGCAAAAAAATCGAAAGGCTAATTTCAGTTGTAGGCTATTTTCACTGCATTTTTTTCAGTGCACCACTTGTCAAGAGGCAAAATAATCACTCCGACTCGATTGTTATTAGCATTGAGATATTTAGAATTTTATCTAACACAGACGTTACTATAAATAATAAGGAACATTAGAAATATTCTTAAATATAAGTGGTCTTGTTGTTCAAATTCGTATTAATTCGGGGAGGCAGTTTAATTTCTGGAAGTGTTTAGAAAGCAAATATTTTGCAAAAAAATCGAAAGGCTAACGAGAGCAAGAAACCAGAATCAGGAATCCACTACATTAACTTTCTTCAGCACAGCGTCCAAATCCGCATGCCCTGAAGGGTAAAGAGTTTTTTGGGATAAACAGGAAGTTAATTTTTTCACATTAACAATATACGCCAGATCTTTCGTCTTTTGACTTGTTTCATTTTCCAAACTTGAAAAAAAACACCTTTCAAAAGGAAGAAACGAGTCCAGGAAATCATAAGATCTGCCATTTTCCAGTATACTAACGGTCATACCCAAAAATTAGTTCTAAAAACAATCAGAAATTGGATAAAATTATTTTACGGACATGTGTTTTAATTAAAAGAGAATATTAAGTTAAACTAGAGCCGAGTTTAACGAGTAGGTCGTCCGTCCTGTTTGACCGGAAGTAACTTTCATTTAAAAAAAAAAGAGTAATGATAGTCCAAAAATGGGTTAATCCTCCAAATCTATGTTAAGTATTGCAAAATTAAGCCATTCTTTGGTACTTCCGGTTTGACCGAAAGTGACGACGACGGACGGAAAATTAATATTTAAGCTTCTAGTGACACATGTTACCCAAAAACTTGTCAAAAACGGCAAAAATATGCATTTTCTGACTACATCCGGTTCGACCCGAAGTAACGTCGCCGGACGTATTTTGACGACCCCATTAGATAAAGCTTGATATTTTGAACAACTTTGCTTCTTTGATGTATAACAAATTCTCAATACTTTTTGAGATATCTGGAAAAAACTTTTGGCTCCTCTAGGTCCCTTAATTTAGGGGTAAGCCCTTTTTTCGACATATCATTTGAAAGATCTTCTAATTCTGCACAAATTATGTTCTATATATTTTAACAAAATATTTTTAGTTTAGAAGATAAAATGAAAAATATGAGTAATTTTTGGTTCTTCTAAGCATTCTAATTTTTGACCCCTATATAGCGCCATTTTGAATAGAGAAATCGAAAAACAAAAACCGATGTGCACAACTTCAATCCTTCTATTATCTAAAATCAGTAGAATTTCAGCTCCAGCTTCAGCCGTCTCTGAGCCTTTGTCTGGAAACGAAAGCCTATAAATTTTTCTTTAAAGGGAAATAACTCAAAACCGGAAGTGGCTTTTTGAAATTTTTGACAGCATTCTGATAGAGTTTATTAACGTCTATAACGTCTGAAAATTTGAGCGAAATCCGTTGAGAAATGAGCGAGATATGAGGCCTCAAAGTTGCGGTCTAGGAAGCAGAAGAAAAAAAAGAATAACTAGATACGATCTCGTTGCGAGCAACGAGAGGTCTTCCGTCCGATTCAGGAAAAAAAAAAACTTGTAAAATCGAACTGAAAAGTGATTCAAAATTTTGGTCACAAGGAGGATTGAACCCAGGTCGCCAATGTAAATGCGCTTTTTTTCTCTTTTATCCACAATGCACATCTCGCTCATTTCTCAACGGATTTCGCTCAACTTTTCAGACGTTATAGACGTTAATAAACTCTATCAGAATGCTGTCAAAAACGCCACAAGTAATTATTCGCGACTTTTCTTTGGACTTAGGTTTTTTTAGCTTCAATGAAATTAAATAAATAAAACGTTCTTATCGCCTTTATTTTATTTCAAAGTAAAGAAAGTATATTTAACACATTGTACACATTATCATGTATCCTTATGTCAGAATGGTTTAATCAAACGCTCAGCTGCCCCCATAAACCCGTACTCGCGAAATGGCAGAGTTGACAGAGACAGCCGCCATCTTGGGCCCGCTTCAGATTTTCAAATATTAATATCTAGAATTCAGATTAACCAATATTCAAACAACTTATATAGTAATCGTTAATAGAAGGGTCACTATTAATCTTCCAAAAATAATTGAAAAATATTGAAAAACAAAAAAGTTAGAAAATACGCTTTTTTTAATTCTCATCTCCTAACGACAGGAAGTATTGACGACGAACAAAAGGTCGCGTCCTGTCTAGTATCTATCACGATCTATAATCCCTGAAAGTTTCACATTGATATCTTTTACCGTTCTTGAGATTAACCACAGACAAAATGTCATTTTAAAATCAGGAAATGTCCCGTAACTTGGAACCAGATAGGAATTTTCAAAAAGTCGCTCAGATAGATCAAGATCATGTTACGACACATCTTTTCTGAAAATTTCATGTAATTCCATCCAGTAGTCTTCGAGAAATCGCGTGCACAAAATTTTGGGAAAAAAATAATAAAAAGAATAATAATAATAACTAGATACGATCTCGTTGCGAGCAACGAGAGGTCTTCCGTCCGATTCAAGAAAAAAAAACCTCGTAAAATCGAGCTGAAAACTGATTCAAAATTTTGGTCACAAGCAGGATTGAACCCAGGTCGCCAACGTGAATGCGCTTTTTTTTCTCTTTTATCCCCAACGCGCAAACCATTAAGCTATTGGGAATACTGCTCTAAATATACTTGTGTATACTTTTGCAACAGTACACCTATCTAAGAATCATAAAAGTCGGGCCACTCTTCATAAATTCGCGCCAAACGCCACGATTAAATATTTGCGCCTTTTCTTTGGACTGATCTATTAAATAGGTGTGATAGCTTCATTGAAATTAAAGAAATAAAACGTTTCTAATCGTCTTTATTTTATTTCGACGTTAGGAAAGTATATTTTACACATTGTACACATTACATATCGTATCTAGCCCAGTTACACTAAAGCAGTGAAACGGAAATTAAGTTTTAAGATTGACACAAAATTGCAACGTACTACTACGTGAAAGTCCAAGTAGTTTTTACATTTCATGTATCCTTATTTCAGAATGGTTTAATCAAACGCTCAGCTGCCTCCATAAACCCCTACTCGCGAAATGGCGGAGTTGACAGAGACAGCCGCCATCTTGGGCCCGCTTCAGATTTTCAAATATTAATATCTAGAGTTCAGATTAACCAATTTTCAAACAACTTATATAGTGAGCATCTATAGAAGAGTCACTATTAATGTTCTAAAAATAAATAAAAAATATTGGAAAACAAAAAATTTAGAAAATACGATTTTTTCAATTCGCATCTCCTAACGACAGGAAGTAGTGACGACGAACAAAAGGTGGCGTCCTGGTTAGTATCTATCACGATCTATAATCCCTGAAAGTTTCACATTGATATCTTTTACCGTTTTAGAGTTTAATCCTGGACAAAATGTCAGTTTAATTTCAGAAAATTGTCCGTAACTTGGCACCGGAAGTAAGTTTCCAAATTTTCTCTCCGATATAATAAATTCATGTTACAACACATCTGTCCTGAAAATTTCATGAAAATCCATCCTGTAGTCTTCGAGAAATCGCGTGCACAAAATTAGAAAGTCAAAAAATAAGAATAATAATAAGAAACAATAGAATAACTATAAGGTCTTCCGTGAAGACGGAAGACCTTTATAATAAGAAACAGTAGAATCACTGTAAGGTCTTCCGTGAAGACGGAAGACCTTAATAATCTTTACCAACAGAATCAGTAGAAGGTCTTCCGTTGGAAACGGAAGACCTTAATTATGAAGACTAAATCATTTAAAAGCGTCTTTTGCTTCTTTCCGAGCACCGAGGAAATTATTTTTATTGAACAGCCCTCGTATATGATGACCAGAGTAATTTAAAGAGGAAGCTTATGGGCCACATCGCTCACCTGAGTAATTTTGGCCATCCTATTTTGCCAAATTTGCCGAGTGGTTCTTGAAAAGAAGTTGAAAATGTGAAAAGTTTACTGACATGTGGACAGATGGACGGACAACGGGTGATCAGAAAAGCTCACTTGAGCTTTCAG